CACAATCCAACAAAAACACCAACCCCATGTTCCTCCATAGTTAATCTTGAATTTTTGCTCCAAAATAGTGTACAAAATGAACTAATCTAGTCTAATTTAAATCACAAAATAAAAACCCTAGCTAAGAACTATGAAGTAAAAGAGGAGAAAATATGCTAAGAGAGTTTCTAAAGTTGAAATAAAAGAGGAGATTTTTTTTCTAATTTGGTACAAAATGAGTATTTATAGGCAAATGGACGAATGGAATGAAGTGAATAAGTAGGAAAGTCTTTTGCCCAAATTGAACTTTCTTAAAAATGGAAATCCTAGGAATCGGGGTCAAAATGGCAGAATCGTTAAGTTCTGGACTGAGCTTGAACCAGCTTTGTAGTTTGTGAAAGAGAAAGCCGCACGGAGAAATTACGCTGGAAAGGAGGGATCAAGTTTTCAATTACAAGAACTTTCTTTCCTCTTCCTTCGTCTGAAACTCTTGCACCACCGCCGGCCATCCTCAATCGCCGCCGCCCTTCACCACTCATTCAACTCGATTCGGCCGCCGATTCCATCTGAAAGTGATGCTAAAGTGTTCCTCTCATCATTCCCATTGAATCTCTGGGATTAATTTCCGATTTCCTGCCCGATACCATGACGAATGGATCCGTGAGGTGCTGCTGCAATTATCTTCTTCTCCTTGCCGGAAAACTCATAACCATCGACTTGAATTGCTTTTTTTGCCGCCAAAGTTGAGGGTTTTTTCCACTCTTTCTATCCAGGCCTTATTGCTAATGATACTTCACAAATTTTGGTTCAGATTCAGGGCAAATCGAACCATTAGACTTTGCTATTCATGTCTTGCTGTATTGCTGCAGTATCAGGATTTTCCAGCAAAGAGTAACCACTTTCATCTCATTTTTTCGCCAATTTGCATTTGAAATTTGGAGTCGACTTCCAGAAATGAGTTGTACCTCGTTCTTCCATCTTCGCAACCGTATAAATAACTTACAAATCCAAGCTACGGATCTCAAATTATGATCTCCGGGAGATGACTGATTTCTGCTGAAGTTTCTGATAAGGGCTGATGACTGAAATTTCAACTGCAGTTCTGACCATTTTAGGATCTGAATTTTGAAAAGTTCTCAGTACAACAGTCGTAGCTCTCTTTTTCAGCTTCGCATCCATATAAAGAAATCACAAATCAGAGCTACGAATATCCAGCTAGAGCCTCTGAAAAATGGCTGATTGTTGCTGATGTTCTGCACATTGTTGGTTCAGTTCTGACAGCAGCATTCCAAATGCAGTTTTAGCCCCTTTATGTTCTGATTTTGGAGATGTGCTTCACATTAATGTTGTAGTTCCCACTCTGAGCTTCGTAGGCATATTTGGTTGGCTTCAAATGGAGGATTCTAGCTCAAGTTATGAGCCCTTCAAGATAGACCATTCGTCGTTGATCATCACTTGAACTTTTGGTCATTTCATTGATATTTTTGCTCCATTTCCAAACCATTTTGCATGAATCATTTGTGCTACAATGGAAGACCACAAAACATAAGATTTGTGCATTTTTACATGTTAACACTATACAGTGAGTCTATATTTAAGTAAAAGAGGTATGAAATCACATATATATTTGATTCACATCAGGCTCAAGCAATACGATGAAACTAACTTTATGCAATCTAATAAGAGTTTTCAAGCGCCGCTGAAACGCTGAATTATTTATCCCATGCACATTCCAAATTATTTGACTTAACATTGGAAGAGATAATAAAAAACAGGGAAAACCCTCATTGCAACCGAGTTGATCGCCTGAGCACCAACCCTTCCTGCATTCTAAGCCGCTCTTCCTTTGATTTTCGGTCTCTTTTCCTCTTGACTACGGTGAATTCCCCTTCTTCATGAATCCGAGCATCTTATTTTTCCCCATCAGACCACCTGCTTCGATATTCTTCTTCATTTTCCTCTAAGGAACTGTGTCGGCCTATATGACTATCATCAGGTAGAAAAAGCCTCAACTCTGTTTCCATTGGTGTGTCATTTGTTTTTCCAACAGAGACATGGATTCCATTTACAGCAGGAACTGGATTATCATTTCCCTTTGATGCCTCCTTGCTTGAGTTATGGTTTTGCGCGTCATCATTGGCTACGGCTTCAGCAGTTAATGCATTTAAGCCTGTAGATACTACTTCTGAACTTTGACAAAACTGGCAAATGCCCTCTGAATTCGCAGTCAATGTTTCGGCAGCATCCAACTCAATATCAACAACAATTGATTCTTTTTCTTCCCGCGTTAATCCCGACGTCGAGCCTTCTAAAGTTGCAGGCCCTAATTTTTCTATTTCAGCTACAGAGGGGCACTTCGGCTTCAACTTAGGGAAACAAATTTCACCTTTTTTAATGGCTGCTTTTCCAATCTTCCCGTGTCAGTGATCACTGATTTTTCCTTTCGGATATGCTCACCTTTATCAGGATGCTTCTTCGACTTTAAACCCTTCCTGCATTCCTCCGATTTGTATCCTATCTTACTACACTTAGAGCAATATGAAGGAACGTATTCATATGTATAGAGCTGCTCATATTTTTTACCTTTTTTTCCAATTTTTATAGATTTCGGAAGTTCTTTTGTACCTCAACACAAACGGGAGCCACCGATGGCCTTGTGAGATTAAGCGTTGGTGCATCTACCTGCAAGGGTTTGCCAACAGCCAAGGCAATGGAGAATAACACCTTTGGGTGAGTTCACTCTAAAGATAATTCATGCAACGATACCCATATTGGGACAATTGGAGGATCCTCCGCAAATTTGAAACTAGGTTTCCACTTTAAAATCCTCATTTGATATCCTCCAATATTCCATAAGGACTTGATCCAACAACGTTATAATCTTCTTCAAGCTCTAATCAGATTAGAACGTGACGCGGATTTATAAGACCCAAAAAATATGAACCCTTAAAGCAATTTTCCTAAATTCTTCCTGCAACGCTTCCATAGGAAAATTTCCCTACCAGATTCATCTAGAGCGGAGATATTAGCTCTTCAAATTCATCATCATCGAACTCCAACTCCGGCGATCCTTTAAAAAACGTAAATTGCTTAAAATTGAAACCAGAAGAGTTTCAATAATATATAAATCCTAGTGACACAAACAAAAAGATCACATATTAATTCATTGTCCAATAAAATAACTTTATTAGTTAATTTTTTGATGAGCCCCAAATTCCAATATTAATGACTTGATTTGAAAAAATAGAAATACTTTGATAGCTTAGATTTATGAGGCAACTAAAAGATGTGCCTTTTGGCCTTTATAATTACAATTTAATCTCATGTCGTTAGGGGGTGAAAAGATATCATCATAAATATTTCCAAAAAAAGAAAAAAAATCGTAACAAAAGTATGCATAGATTCACACAATATAGGATTGGTTTTTAATTATTGTCTCACCAGAGAACACTAACGTACTAAATCTCTCTTCTTCCTAAACACTGGTTAGTGACACAAACAAAAAGATCACAAATTAATTCATTGTCCAATCAAAATAACTTTATTAGTTAATTTTTTTTATTAGCCCCAAATTCTAATATTAATGACGTGATTTGAAAGTAGAAACTTTGATAGCTTAGATTTATGAGGGAACTAAAAGATGTGCCTTTTGGCCTTTATAATTACAATTAAATCTCATGTTGTTAGGGGGTGAAAACATATCATCATAAATATTTCAAAAAAAAAAAATCGTAACAAAAGTATGCATAGATTCACACAATATAGGACTGGTTTTTAATTATATTCTCACCAAAGAGAACACTAACGTCCTAAATCTCTCTTCTTCCTTAACACTGAATAAATAGTGTGCTGTATTTGTTGGCTCCTGCCTCCCGTCTTCATCCGCCTTCAAGTTTTTTTGTGTATGTCGATTGCTTAAAAAATCATCTCAAGATCTAATTTTTCTTTTTCATGTTATATCGTTCTGATTTTTGTAATCTTTTTTAGAAAAAACTTAATTAAATTGTGGATTTTTTTTCCTCTTCCAGATCAACATGGATTGCCCCCTGAATGGTTTTGATAGCCATAATTCATCAAGACAACCTTCCCCTTAATCATGAATCTTTTTCATTTTTTTCTGATTTAAATTTTTCGGTGGTTTTGTTAGTCAAATCTCTTTTATATGTATCTTTGTTTTAATTTTTATCCTAACAATGATGAGATCGATGAGTGAAGTCGTTTACCTACTTTTTTGGTGTGCGTGCTCTAATGAAATTTTGTGTAACCGTGTATGGTTTCATGACCAGTTGATTTACTTTAATTTAGTGTCATTAATTTGGTGTTTAGCTTGTTTAAACTTTTCTGATTTGATGTCCTACTTTACGTTGTCTAATTGAATTACGTTAAATGTTTGTGGCGTTCGGTTCTCTTGGTAATTGAGGAAATGAGCATCTGATAAGATTTGATTTTACACATTAGTTACTTTGAACAATAATTATCATTTCAGGGTTTTGTTACATATTTTTCCTTTTTGAATATCATATCTAAGTTTATCTTTAATAGAATGATTGTTTTGTGGTATTAGTTATGGTGGATGTATTGCACATCGAATCTTAAGCGGCACCATTTATTGGTTAAATACTTTTGTAGTGATGATTATTTTGAGGTTTTCAAACTTATTTACCCTTTACAATTATGCATATTTTGGTTTTACTTTTTATGTAATCTCTATGATGGATGTATTACGGATCCAATCTTTAGTGACACCATCAATTGGTCACTTTAGAAGAATGATTATTTTGTTGTTTTCATATACATATTTTCCCCGTTCGAATATGCAAACCTAGTTTCTCTATTGTGGATCAACTGTGAATAAAATCTGGAGTACGACGGAAGATCTTTTGTGGGGAATTAGGAAACGTGTTTAACCAAGAAATGAGTAGCTTTTTCCCCTTGAGTATAGTACAATTTTCCTTGTTTGCTAATGAGTTTGGGGGAAAATTGTGTATTAATTTGGTTCACTTGTTCTCATTTGAAGCACCATGCAGAAGTCCCCGATCGTATATGACACAACAGATGCCATAAACTATATGAGGGAAGTTAAGGACACTTACCTAGATCGAAATGAGAAGTATGATGTGTTCATTGCCCTTATGAGGGAGTACAAAGATAAAAGTATGTGCCCCAACTTTCATCGACACAAGCTTTATCATTTCGTACGTATATTCTCATATTTTAATTTTATTTAAATTTTACTAACTCATGGATATATTCTGCAGGGTTGACAATCCAGGTGTCATTGCAGGAATAAAAGAACTGTTTGTGGCGAATCTGAACTTACTTCTAGGTTTCAATAAATTCTTGCTCCGGGAGTTTGAAATCACCCTGGGTGATGTAGAGGTTGCCCCTGATGACACAATAAAGGATTTTGAAGAGGCTCTAGGTGTCATCAAGAAGATAAAGGTTCTATTTACTTCTACATCAGTGCAACAATAGTACTTCTTCCATTCCAAAGCTCATAGTTGTTTTTGTTTAACTCATAGTGAGTTTCTTTAAGTCTACAATTAATTCTGAAAATAGAATATTTTGTACTTTTTCACTTTGCAGAAGCGTTTCGGAAGCAACCACCATGTCTACACATCTTTTCTAGACCATTTGGATGCGTACAAGTATGGAGGCCATAGCGTTGATGAGGTCTACTATGAGGTTTGTATCTGTTTCAACTGAATTCGTTTAGTAATTTAATTTATATATTTTATTTCTCATGTTTGGCAGAATGTTCATGCTTTAAAAACTGATATATTACATTTTTATCGCACAGGTTGCCTCACTTTTCAAGGGTCATCCAGATCTGCTTGTCGAGCTCACCAAATATATTCCAGAAGATTAATTAGTTACATATCTTTTGTATTACTACATGATTCAATGGGACTAATGTTGTTTTTTTTCATGTAAGGAAGTGATGTGGTATCCTTATGTCCCTGTTTGTTGTGAACTTGTTTGTGAGATACTGAACTTTGTAACATGAATATCCGAAGTTGATGTTATGTTGCTTTTTAAAAGAATATTATGGACAAGATTATTGCATTTCTTCTCCCTTTTCAGTTGAATTTTCTAGAAATGGTTTCTTTTCATAACTCCAATTTATCGAATTATTATGAATTAATAACTATATTTGTGGCAGGATGACAAACATCATATAAGGTTAAGTTAATTTTCTCACAAAATACGTGATTGTCGTAGTGTTCATGGATGTTTTGATTCAGGTTTTGAATTTTTAGTTCTTACAAAGTGAGGTCGAGCTGGAAAAATGGCATTATCGATAAGCACAATATACTGGATTGGAATGATAGTCGACAATTAAGGACACGGTCAACACTGTACGAATAAACAATGGAAACACAGTAATTAATAACACTTAAAATAGTCACAAAGATACTTTTTTTGGATGGAGAGTACAGTTTTATGTCAACAGTAAGCAATTAATAATGTTGTTCTTATTAAAAAGGTAAAATATTTTTCCTTAATAGGATACCTTTGTTATACAATGGTCATCAAACACCATATATGACTAAAGGCAGATACAACTAACTTACAAAAATTAATTATACATTTCAAAATTACTAAACAATAATTATTTGTATAAAATCATATTCACATTGAATGTATATCCCTATAATGCATAAATTTTTTAAGAAAAAAAAAAACTATTCGGCTTTTGTTATTTGGAAAAATAATGTTACTCACATAACTATATTTTATTATCAAAACTATATAAATGTGTATTTCTATCATTCACATATTTTGTAACACCGAGAAAACCATACAAGAGACATTAGTCTAGAATGTCTTTTGGCCTTTACAATTACAATTTTATCTGATGTCGTTTTGGGGGTGAGAAGATATTATCATAAATATTTCAAAAGAAAAGAACAAAAATCACAATAAAAGTATACATAGATTCACACAATATAGAATTATTTTTTAAATTATCTTCTGACCGAAGAGAACGGTAACGTACTAAATCTATCTTTCTCCTCATCACTATATAAGTAGTGAGTTGTAGTATCTCGTGGTTACACACATATTTTTCACTCAACCCTTTTTTTGGCTCCTGCCTCTCTTTTTCATCACCGCACTTCAGTTTTTCATGTATGTTGCTTGCATAGAAAAAAATTCATCTCAAGATCCTCTCTCTCTCTCTCTCTCTCTCTCTCTCTCTCTCTCTCTCTCTCTCTCATTGTTATATTGTTCTGATTTCTGTGATCTGTAAGATAAAACTGATTATATTCTCTCTTTTTTTCTCTTTTCCAGATCAACATGGATCGTCCCCCGACTGCTGCTAATAACCTTAATTCATCAAGACAGCCTTCTGTTGAATCGTAAGTCATTTGCTTTTCATTTTCTTTTCTTCTTGTTTAAATTTTTCAGTGATTTTCTTTAGGGTCAATGTTTATTATATGTATATTTGTGTTAATTTTGATCCTGATGATAATGAGATCAATGAGAATTTTTCTACCTCTGTTTTTCTTTTGGTGTGCGTGCTCTACGAATTTTAGGGTAACCATATATACTTTCCTGACTAATTGATTTACTTGAATTTGTTATCATTAGTTTGATGTTTGGTTTATTTAAAGTTTTCTTATTTGATGTCCTAATTTATGTTGTTAGTTGAATTAGGTTAAATATTTGTAGTCTTTGATTCTCTTGGTAATTGTAGAAATGATTATTTGACTGTGACTAAAGTTTTGATTTTATGCATTTAGTTAATTTCAACCCGAATTATCATTTCTAGATTTCCTTACATATTTTTCGTTTTCAATTATTGTATCTAAGTTTATTATTAATAGAATGATTGTTTTGCGGTGTTCCTTTTGATGGATGTATTGCGAATTGAATCTTGAATGACACCATTTATTAGTTAATTACTTTTGCATTTATGATTATTTTGAGGTTTTCAAACTTATCCACCCTTTTTGATTATGCATATTTTGGTTTTATTTTTTTTATGGGATTTCTATGACGAATGTATTGTGGATCTAATCTTTAGTAACATCATTAATTTGTTTTCGCAAGAATGATTACTTTGATGTTTTCATGTATATATATGTGGAAGATCTTTTGCGAAGGTATTCGAATCGGTGTTTTTCTTTTCTTTTTTATTTGGTAAATTTAGAAAACCACGAAACAAATATTTTTTTTCACTTGGGTATAGTACAATTTTCCTGGTTCGCTAATGATTTTTGGAGCAAATTGTCTATTAATTTGGTCCTCTTATTCTCATTTCAAACACCAGCCAGAACCCTTCGATTGTATATGACACAACAGATGCCATAAATTATATGAGAGAAGTTAGGGACACTTTCATAAATCAAAAGGAGAAATATGATGCCTTCATTGCCCTTATGAGAGAGTACAAAGATAAAAGGTATATAACCCATCTTTCTTGGACACAAGCTTTATCATTTTGCATATATATTCTTATGTTTCAATCTTATTTAAATTTACTAACTCATGGATATATTTTCCAGAGTTGATAATCCAGGAGTCATTGCTGGATTGAAGAAACTATTTGTAGGGCATCCGAACTTACTTCTTGGTTTCAATAAATTCTTGCCCCAAGGCTTTGAAATCACGCTGGATAATGAAGAAGAGATTACCCTTGATGAGCTCACAAGGAAATTTGAGGAGGTTTTAAGTTTCGTCAAAAAGGTAAAGATTATATTACTTCTACATTAGTGCACATAGTACTTCTTCTTTCTCATTCTAAAAGTCGTAGTTTCTTTTGTTTGACTCGGAGTGAGTTTCAAGTCTATGTTATAGTTGATTCTAAAATAGAATGTTTGGGACTTTTTTACTTTACAGGAGCGTTTTGAAAGCAACCATCGTGTCTACACTTCTTCTTCGGACCATGTGGATGCGTACAAGGACAGGAAAAAGAGCATTGATGAGATCTACCATGAGGTTTGTATCCATTTCAACTAAATTTGTTTATTGTTTTTAATATCTTTTATGTTTCAGGTTTGGCAATATTTCATGCTTTAAACTGCTAAATAGTTTACATTTACATTACACATGTTGCGTCACTTTTTAAGGACCACCCAGATCTAATGGTCGAGTTCACCAAATATATTCGAGAAGATTAATTAGTTATATATTTTCTATATTACTAAATGATTCGATTGGATTGATGTTGTTTGTTGTTGTATAAGAAACTTTTTTTGTATCCGTATGTCCCTATTTTTAACAAACTTATTTTCTAGATGTTGAACTTTGTAAGATGAATCTCCGAAATTGGCATTATGTTATTTTTTTACATTAATATTATGGACGCTATTGCATTTCTTTTCCCTTCTCAGTTGAAATTATTCAAAACGGTTTCTTTTCATAACTGCAATTTCTGAAATTTTTATGAATTAATAATTATATGGGATAAGAATTGAGGACAACTCCCCCTCCCCGAGTAATGTCCCAAAGACTAATGACCCCTTAAGGTTTTGTGTAAGGACAAAACCCCCTTGACCATAGGTCGTTGGCAATTAAACCCATTGACTACGGGAATGTTGTGAAATTAAATGATGTAAGAACAAAAAAATAATGTGTACAGACTAAAATGCCCTATTTCTCTAATCATAAGTATTTTTCTGAACAAAAAATTACCATTTAAACAGAATTAGTTGAAAATAAAATTATATAAAAAGAAAAAAAAATGTGATGCTTCTTCTTCTTCTCTTTTATTTTTATTTTCTTATTCCTCCATTTTAAGCCAAAACAAACACCACCGCCGTCACAACCACCATATATCCCATCACACCTAGAGCCACATGCATGAATTGGAATTAATCAAAAAGTGTTTGGTGCATTTAAACTGTTTGGTGGATTTTTGCATATCTATAGTGATGATTTGTTAAATGAGATTTGATGAGTTTTAAATAATTTCATTTCCTGTATTACTAATTTGGACCTCTGGATCCAAATTGAAAGGTTAGGACTAACACACCACCATCTTTTTCTCCTCATCCTTCTTCTCCTTCCTCTTATCCTCCTTCTAGTAAGCAATTTCCATCACCCTTTTCTTCTGGTTTGCTTCTTGACTAGTGCTAGAAAATCCATGGGTTTTTCTACCATCATGTATGTTTTATAGTTGATTTGTCGTTGTCTAAGCAAATTCATCTTCTTGTGGAGAGATTGGTATGGGTTTTCATGAAAAGCATCTGGTGAAATTTTGGTTAAGTGAGTCAAGTCTCGATCTCCAAATTTAATGGTAGGGAATGAACAATTTGAAACTTGCTTTTATGTTTTGAGTTTTGAGTAATTTAGCAATTAAAAGTGACAAATGATTTGTTTCAAAATTGATTAAAAAAATATATATATTTCTTTTGTTGTTCTGGTTGTTCGGTTCTTTCAATGTTTGGGTTTAGAGTATTTGGCAACATTAGAGCATCTGCGATGAAGATTTCCTGTGAAGATTAGGGGTGCTCGTTGTTCTTGATGTTGGGGGTTACGCTGGGATGATTGCTTTAGGATAGGAGAAAAAAAATAACAATTGGGTATAAATTGAAAATTAGATTAATAATTAAGAATATACCAATAATTTTATCTTGAATTATTATGTGTCAAAAATTTGTTGGAACCACTTTGGTTTTTCTGTCTTTTCACAAGTCTGGTCTTTTGACTACAAGTTTGAAGTGGTCAAAGAAGATTTTTGTGCTAACACATAATCTTGGCACAGGGAGCGGGATTCCTCCTTGTCCCTAATTATATTTGTGATAGGATGACAAATGTCAAATAAGGTTAAGTTAATTTTCTCACAGAAAATATATTTGCCGTAGTGTGAATGGATATTTTGATTCCGTTTTTGAATTCTTAGTTCTTACATAGTGAGATCGAGCTGGAAAAATTGTATTTTTGATAAGCACAGTGTACAATGGCAACGGTAATTAATAGCACTTAAAGTAGTCACAAAGATACTTTATTGGAATAAAAAGAGTCCAGTTTTATGTCAATAGTAAGCGATTAGTAAATATTGTTCTTCTTAAAAAGGTAATACATTTTTCCTTAATTGGGTACCTTTGTTATACAAAGGTCATCATCTACCATATGTGGCTATAGGCATATACATCTAACTTACAAAAAACAATTATTTCAAAATTAACAAACAACAGTTATTTGAATGAAGTCAATATTCCCATTATGTATATCCCTACAATACATAACTTTTCTTTTTAAACAATTAGGTTATTGTTATTTGGAAAAATAAAGTCACTCACGTAGTTATATTCAATTATCAAAACTATATAAACAATGTGTTCAGCGTAATTGCATGTATTTCTATCATTCACATAATTTCCAACACCGAGAAAACCAAATGATAGACATGATTCTAGAATGTCTTTTGGCTTTTAAAATTACAAAATATTTGGGGTTGAGAAGATATCATCACAAATATCAGAAGAAAAAAAATCAAATAAAAGTGTACACAAATTCACACAACGTAGAATTGATTTGTTCATTATTTTTTTACCGAAGAGAACAGTAACGTACTAAATCTTTCTTCCTTCTCATCACCTATATAAATGGCATGTTGTATTTACTTGCAGTTACACACATATTTTTCACTCACAATCTTTTGTTGGTTCCTATCCCTCGTTCTCATCACCGCACTTTAGTGTTTTGTGTATATTGGTTTCTTCAAAAAAAAACCATCTCAAGATCTCCTCTCTCTCTCTCTCTCTCTCTCTCTCTCTCTCTCTCTCTCTCTCTCTCTCTCTCTCTCTCTCTCTCTCTCTCTCTCTCTCTCTCTCTCTCTCTCTCTCTCTCTCTCTCTCTCTCTTAATTGATTTTTATAATCATTAAGATAAAGCTAATTATATGGTCTATTTTTCTCCTCTTCTAGATCAACACGGATCATCCCTTGAATGCTGCTGATAACCTGAATTCATCAAAACAACATTCTGCTGAATCGTGAGTCCTCAACTCTTTTTCATTTTTTTTTATTTGAATTTTTCAGCAATTTTCTTTAGGGTCAAGTTTTTGTTATGTATCTTTGTTTTTATTTTGAATCAGACGATAATGAGATCAAAGTGAGAATTTTTCTACCTATATTTTTCTTTATGGTGTGCGTACTCCATTAAATTTAGTGTAGCCATGTGTGCTTTCGCGACTAATTGATTTACTTGAATTTAGTGTAATTAGTTTGGTGTTTGGTTTGTTTAAAATTTTTATTTTGATGTCCTACTTTACGTTGCCAATCAAATTAGGCTAAATATTTGTGGTTTTTTATTCTCTTGGTAACTGCGGGAAACGATTATTTGAATAAATTTTTTATTTTACGCATTAGTTACTTTCAACACGAATTATCATCCCAAGGTTTTCTTACTTATTTTCCCTTTTCAATTATCATATCTACCTTTATCTTTAATAGAATGATTGTTTTGTGGTGTTCCATATGGTGGAAATATTGTGAATCGAATCTTGAATGGCACCATATATTGATTAATTACTTTTGTAATGATGATTTTTTTGAGGTTTTCAAACTTTTCTACCCTTTTTTTATCATGCATATTTTGGTTTATTTTTATGGAATTTCTAATGTGAATACATTTCGGATCTAATCTTTAGTAACACCATTAATTTACTTTTGCAAGAATGATTATTTTGTTGTTTTCATATACATTTTCCCCCTTCTCTAATATGCAAACGTGGGTTCTTTATTTTTCGTACTTGGAATTAAATCTTGAGTTGTACGGAAGATCTTTTGCGGGGACATTAGGAACGATGTTTTGTTTGGTGAACTTAGAAAACCAATAAGCGAGTAGCTTTTCCACTTGGGTATAGTAAAACGCTCCTCATTTGCTAATGAGTTTAGAGCAAATTGTCTATTAATTTGGCCCCCTTATTCTTATTTGAAGCACCAGGCAAAATCCCCCAGTTGTATATGACACAACAGATGCCATAAATTATATAAGGGAAGTTAGGGACACTTACCTTGATCAAGAGGAGAAATATGATGCATTCATTGACCTTATGAGGGAGTACAAAGATAAAAGGTATATACCCCAATTTTCTTGGACACAAACTATATTATTTTGTATATACATTCTTATGTTTCAATCTTATTTAAGTTTCCTAACTCATGGATATATTTTGTAGGGTTGATAGTCCGGGAGTCATTGCCGGATTGAAGAAACTATTTGTAGGGCATCCGAATTTACTTCTAGGTTTCAATAAATTCTTGCCTCGGGGGTTTGAAATCACATTGGATAATGAAGAAGAGGTTACGCCTGAGGAGCTCGCAAGGGAATTTGAGGAGGCTTTTAGTCTCGTCGAGAAGATAAAGGTCATATTTACTTCCACATTAGTAAATATAGTACTTTTTCTTTCATTCTAAAAATCGTAGTTTCTTTTGTTTAACTCGGAGTGATTTTCAAGTTTATTTTATAGTTGATTCTGAAAATAGAATGTTTGGGACTTTTTCACTTTGCAGGAGCGTTTTGAAAGCAACGACCATGTCTACACTTCTTTATTGGACCATCTGAATGCGTATATTGATGGAAACAAGAGCATTGATGAGGTCTACCGTGAGGTTTGAATCCATTTCAACTAAATTTGTTTATTGTTTTTAATATCTTATATGTTTCAGGTTTGGCAATATGTTTATGCTTTAAAAACTGATAAATAGTTTACATTTACATTGCACAGGTTGCTTTACTTTTTAAGGACCACCCAGATCTGTTGGTCGAGTTCACCAAATATATTCAAGAAGAGTAATTAGCTATACATTTTCTGTATTACCAGATGATTCAATGGGATTGATGTTTGTTGTTGTATAAGAAATTGATACTATGTCCTTCGGTCTCTGTTTGTTATGAACTTTTTTCAGATGTTGAACTTTGTAAGATGAATATTCGAAGTTTACATTATATTACTTTTTACATTAATATTGTGGACAAGGTTACTGCATTTCTTTTCCCTTCTCAGTTGAATTTGCTCAAAACGGTTTCTTTTCAAAACTGCAATTTATCAAATTTTTATGAATTAATAGTTTTTTTGTGACATGATGATAAATTTTCTGGTTAGGTTAATTTAACCTTCTCACGGAATGCATAATTGTCATAGTATAGATGGGATGTTTTGATTCAGTTTTTGAATTCCTAGTTCTTGTACAGTAAAAGCAAGTTGGAAATTGTGTTATTCTAAGCCTGGTGTATTGGATTAGATTGATAGTCGACAATTCAAGACAAGATCAACACTGTATATATGTAAAAACAATATAGTCACAGTGAAACTTTATTGGCACGGAATGAGTTCAATATTATATCAACAGTAAGCAACTGAATTTTTGTTCTTATTTAAAAAGTAAAATATTTTTCCTTATTAGGGTTCCTTTGTTATACAAAATTTATCAAACAGCATATGTGGTTGTATGCATATATACTATTAACTTTCAAAACACAAATAATTCAAAATTATTAAAGAACAGTTATTTGGACGAAATAAGTATTCCCATTCAATATATATCTCCAAAATGCATAACTATTTTTTGGGAAAAAAAAATAGGTTCTTGTTATTAAAAAATAATATCACTCACACAATTATATTTAATCAGTAAAACTATATAAATAGTGCGTTGAATGTAACTACGTGTATTTTTATCGTTCACATATTTTGCAACACCGTGAAAACCAAACGTTCCTTCTAAAAGGGATTTTTGTTTGGTTATTTACTATAATTTCCTCCGTAATAAATTTATTATGATATCGTGTACAACCTAAATAAAAATACTAAAGGACTTTGTGAAGTGAGAAATGTCACTAGAAAAATATATTATGAGGAGAACTATTATTAATATTTTTGTTAGTTCCATAATTAAAAAGAAATTAAATTTATTTACAGAGAAAATTTCTCTGGGGCTATTGCTCCGATAATAAAAAAGGACCGGATCATAGCACAGAATGGAGGAATTTCTTTCATATATAAAAAATAAACAAATTGAAGACAGTAACAAAAAAGATTAAAATGATTTGGGACAAAGTTATAGACTTATGGTGGGTTTAAAAGGGGGTTGGCTAGCTGCAATCCTTCTGTAGGAAGATTGAGGTCTTAAAATAAGTTGAGGGAGCATTTCAAGGTTCCTAGATGTTTTTACTTCCCAGCGGAATTAACAACTTGAGAAGCAAACAAGGGTTGCTCAAATGGTAGTGGACATGGCATCAAAAACTTGAGATTTTAAGAGATCTCAGGTTTAAACCCCGCTAGAGCACTTGCTGTTTATGTAGACTTACAGTCAAGAGGCCAAAGACGCTTGCAGCCCAGGAAGGCGCGTAACAGAGGCGTGCACACGTGGAGTCTCTCCCTAATAGTAATATCCCTTCCCTCCAGTAAACCCCACAAATGTAATAACCTAGGATACTTATAATGGTATATAAAAAAAAATAAAAAATTAAAAAAAAAACTTGACAAGGGTCCTAGGACACAAATGTTTTTTATTTTATCATTATTTTTTCATTAATCACTTGGTAGGGTACTCCATCTTTCTGAGTATTGTATCTTTTGGGATGAACTTAATTTCAGGTCGGTGTCTCTTTTTGCGTATCAATACGGATCATTGCCAATGGATGAATTGTAAGCTCGTTTTCTTTAATTTTATTTTTGCTCTGAGTTTTGTGGTGGTTTGTTTTCGTGTTTTTCTTTGACGTTCAGTGATGTTTGTTTGTGTTTTTGGTTTTTTTCGCCTAACTGGATTTCATCCTTAGTCCTAATCTTGATCCTGAATTCCCTACAATTGAATGTCATTAGGAGAGTCAAAAAAAAATGCCATTAGGAATTCGCTTGTTTAAACTTCTCAGATCTAAATGTAATGGCTGCCATACTTTATTCCCAATTTGATTAGTTTTGTTATTAACTTTTTGGTGTTAATTAGGGGAGTGACCAAATCGAGTAGAACATTATATTAATTTATTGGGTTACTTTTGCCGTTTTGCGTGCACTATATCATTAATTACACCGCTTTTCTTACATATTTTTTTCCCTCTTGTACATGTGTGTATTTAACTAATTTCTTAAATACTTTCTTTGCGAATTGAATCCTCTCTATCACACGAATATAAGATTTGTTGTTACTATTTACGCTCCAAAAAATAGCTATGTAGTATAATCTCAATATTTAATGATGAACCCTATAATTATATCTATATATATATGTATCTATATATCTATATATAGATCATTTACAAATTTTGCCCTCCACCCTCCTCGTCTCTCGCTCTCGTTTTTTTTTATTAACCTTAGGTCGGTTTCTTCAAAAGATAAACTATATTTTTGGTGTTCTTTTATCTGATTTTGGTATTCTTTTCAGATGAACTTAATTATCGCGGTCGGTGTTAATTAGTTTCTCTTGCAGAGATATGGATCGCATAATGAATGAAATTGCGAACCCTTCATGAACATTTGCTGAATCGTGAGCTCTTTTCGCTTTGAACTTTGTCGTGATTTGCTAGGGTCGTGAAGTTTGATCTTGTCTGTGTAATTGTTTGGTTTATTGGCTTCTTGATTAACTAGCAATATTTAATGTCGTCTGTTTTTGCTTGTTTAAACTTTCATGATCAAGAGTTCATGGATATCTTCTGCTTTTTAATCTCGAATTAGGGTTGTATTTAAATTTCTGGGCTTATTTGGTTAGATGATTGTGGGAAAGATCGATGAACTCTGGGCTTATTTGGTTAAATTTCTGCTCGATTCATTTTAATTTAATGTACTAACTCATGGATACATTGTAGAATTGATGTTACAGGCGTGATTACTCGGGTTAAGCATCTATTCAAAGGACATCCTAACTTAATTCTAGGTTTTAAAAAATTCTTGCCCGAGCCCCGAGGGGTATGATATCACCCTGAATGATGAAGAAAATTTGAACCCGAGCTTTCCTTGACAAGTTGAAGGTTTGCTGCAGGATTTCACCAGATTATCGCCAGAAGAAAAGATTTTAGGCTCTTATTTCTGATGATTTTATGGGATTTACGATTGTAAAGGGATTAATCCTGAATCTTGATTTGTAGTTTTGGGCCTTTTGGCTTCTTCAACTTATATGTTCTTAGTGGTATTAATTAAGTGTTTTGAAATGATGAAGTTTGAGAGTTTAAACAAACAATAATTGAAATTACTGCAAACATGTTTGACTAAATTTGACGATCCCTTGAAAAAACTAAAAAAGATGAATAATTTTTTTCCCCTGGTAGTGAATAATTTATGGCAAGTTAAGCATAATGTACTACAGTGCAAAAGCTGGTTCTTGATCCAGATTCTCATTAAACAAATATTTTTCTATAACCAGTAAAGATATTTTCCCTCTTTTTACAAAAATTAACTTTTATACAATACAACCAAGTGCAATTTATGTATACAATGGACTTCGACAAGGTGAAAAAATTTGTTATTTATGACGAGAGGACAAGAGAAGATCCCTGAAAGTTTTAACAAGACTAATTATGTTATGGTGAGAGATAAGATTTATAGTATGAAAATAGTTTGGGACTAGTTTTGGTTTACATTGAGCCTCTTTTAATTGTTTTTTTTTTCTTAATGAAATTGAAAATTTCCCAAAAAAGAAATTTTATACAATACATTGTCGTTACATTTTTGATAAACTCAATCATACTCAATAAGGTCAAGTTATATTGGAGCTTTCCTCTAATCAATGTTTTTTTTTTTTTTATATTTGCAGGGTGTCTACCGTCGGCAACAGTGACTAATCTCCCTCGCTGAATTGTAGGCACCTTGATGGATAGGATAGTTGGTCAAAATATTTAAGATTATTCCATGCCCACGACGATGTTCGAATCCTCGACCTATGGTTAAGGTGGAGCTACTCCACCACAACCACTAATCAATGTGAACATATCAAACACATCAAATTAATGCACAGATTTTGTTTATACAAATGATACTATACTAGACACATTGTTTTTGTTATACAAATGGACAGGGAAAATGAGGAACTAAACCTGGACTTCATCGTGGGTTTGGAAATTGGAATATAGGCTTTTGCTCTATTACATATGAGGGACTTTCGGGGTTACAAAGCTAGAGTTTGGCATGTGATTTGGGCTCAACATCTGCGAAGGACTGAAGGCAGTTTTGATATTAGGGCTTTTCACATTGATATTGTGGCCTTTTCTCAAAAAATAATGATACACCATTATACACAAACAAAAAATTTTGGGAGTATAAACCCCATTATTTCATTGACTTTTGGTTGAGTCGTCCCTGATTTGGTACAAGAAAAGCTGAAGAAGAGGAACATCAATCCACTGGGCTCACGATCAACTTTTGAAGGCAATTAGGGAACTGTTGAACAAACTTTGAGAAATAAAATGAGAATTAAGTTTTGTATTCGATAATTTTTTGGCAGCTCTAACCATGTCAAGAGGGGATATTTTCAAAATTAAAAAATTAGATATTGGTTAGCCTACAACCTAGTGCTATTTTAATTTGAACATGTTTACCGTTGGCAACTGTGACAGATCAGATCCTCTCAATAAATTGTAGACACAAGGTCAATGAATACTGTATTCCAGCTGGTCAAATTTGTTTTTTCCCGAAAAAAACAAAATATTAGAGGAAAACCATGAACGTAATGATCGTCTAATATGGTAAGAAATTTGAAGGGCAAAATGTTATTGGGCTTTTCATTAGGGCTCCCTTATCTCAATTTTACATAACATAAGCATGAACAGTTAAAAAGATGCATGAAGCCCAACAAGGTTTTCCATAATAATAATAATACACAAAGAGAGGAAGAACGTGCGAAAAAGAAAGGAAAACCTCCATTTCAGCCCTCACAAAAGCCATCATCGTCATCCTACTAAGCCACAAAATTCGAATTCTCTCAATTTACCCTTTTTCTTTCCCATTTTCAGTTCCATTTTATGACCAAAATTATAATCTCCCATAATAAAGAAAATCTATAAATTCTTTAATAATCATAATTATTATATTGAACAGCTACTATTATCTTTTTTAAATAATAGAAGAAGAAGGATAATAATACAAGAAGGAAAAAAAGGGGTCACGTAATAAGATTTATCAAAGTAATAAGTATTACATTATTTACTAGTAGTACTATATAACTAGTGTGTTGTTTTATTTCTCTCGTTTACATAACACAAATTTTTTCCCATTCAACCCCTTCTCGGCCTTTCACTGTTTTCCTTTCCTCCTCTTCTTCACAAGAGAATTTGAGAGACTTTCTTTCTGCTCTCTCTGTTGTTGTTGTTGTTGTTGTTTGTTGTTGTTTGTTGTTGTTCTTGTGTTAAAGAGAGAGATAGAGGAACTGGTTGAATAAGAGAGGGAAAAGGGAATAAGGGGAAAAACATAAGGAAACACTTAACTGGAAGGGTGGGGGGAAGGAAAAATGGTTTTGGTGTTTGGTTGATCCAAAGCTATTCAAGTGATTCTATCCTGATTTTGGTTACTTAGATCTGCTTAGTGTGTCCTTTTCCCTTTTTTTCCCTCAGATTTTTTCTTTTTATCTGAGGGAGGATTAGTTCTCTTTTTTTTGTAAGGTGGGTTTTTATTCAAAAACCTTAAGTCAGATTGAATTAATTGTGTTATATATCGTCCTGATTCTGTAATTCGTTATGGATGAACTTATTTAGTCGATGTTTGTTTATCTGTTTTCAGGGATGAAGCGTATGAGGGATGATGGTTTTCCCAACCCTTCTTTTAAGCGCCCATTTGGTGCCTCCCGTGAATCGTGAGCTCTTTTCTTTTACCTTTTTCCATGTTTAGATTTTTATCTGTTTGTTCTTGCTGTGGATTTTTTGTGATGGGTTTTTTTCCCCTTTACTTGTGTTTCAGTTATGTTCCTTGTTTAACTGGATTTCAATCGTATGTCATATGTTTGATCCCTGATGGTGGATGCGATGTACAATTGAACCTGGAGATCACATTTTTTGGCTTCCTAACTACGTGGTTGTTTTTTTGGTTCTGTGCTCTTTGAATTTTTGTGTCGCTGTATGGTTTAGCTATTAGTTGTTTTACTGGAATGAGTGTCATGAGGTGTTTGCTTGTTTAAACTTTCTTGATCAGACTAAGTGGATGCCCTACTTTTACTCTTCGATTTAATTAGGTTTGTATTTATACACTTGGGCTTTTTTGGTCATTTAAATTATTGAGGGATGATCATTTGAGTAAAGTTTTGATTTTTAAGCATTGGGCTGTGTCGTGGCATCATTTATTGGTTTATTTCGCGCGAAATATCATTTCCCGGTTTTTTGATACTTATTTTTCCCTTTTTGGATATGCGTATGTGGTTTGTCTTTTGAAAAATCTTTCTGTTGGGTGTTTTGTTGGGCCCGGGTCTTGTGTCTTTTTCATAAACGTTTAAAATTATGCAGCCAATCACTATTTCCAAATCAGTTGAACAATTTTGTCTATTTGCTGCTGAATTTGGAGCAAAGAGTCTTTCTTTGATTATGTGGTTCTTTACCTGATTTGTTTGTCTTACTCTTTGTTGAAGCTTCGGGCAGCCTCAGGCTCCTGGTGGAAGTGGAGGAGTGGGTGGCGGTGGTACTGGTGGAAGTGCTGCAGGCGGTGGTGGCAGTGGGGGTGGTGGAGGTAGTGCAACAAAGCTTACAACAAAGGATGCTCTAACATATCTAAAAGAAGTTAAGGACATGTTTCAAGATCAGAGGGAAAAATATGACATGTTCCTTGACGTCATGAAGGATTTTAAGGCTCAAAGGTACCTCAGCTTTCGTAAATGGAAGCTTATTTTTACATGGCTTGGCTTATTTTCATTTAATATTCTAACGCATGGATTCATTGCAGAATCGATACGACGGGTGTCATTGCCCGGGTTAAAGATCTATTCAAAGGGCATCCAAACTTGATTCTCGGTTTTAATACATTCTTGCCTAAGGGTTATGAAATAACCCTGAATGAGGAAGAAGAGGCTCCACCGAAGAGGACAGTTGAATTTGAAGAGGCTATAACTTTTGTTAACAAGATCAAGGTTATATTTATTTCTACTTTACTGAATTACTAAGTTTAGTTTGTAATTGGTTCTGAAAAAGAATCTCTTGGCCTGCAGAAACGGTTTGAAAGTGACGATCACGTCTACAAATCTTTTCTTGATATTTTGAATATGTATCGGAAGGAACACAAGGGCATTAGCGAGGTCTACCAAGAGGTTGTACTTATTTCTACTGAATTGGCTTCTGTTTTCATGTTTGGCAGTTCATGCTCAAGATTGATAAACAATTCGCTTGTACACAGGTTGCAGCACTTTTTGAGGACCACCCAGATTTGCTGGACGAATTCACAAGATTTTTGCCTGATAATTCTGGCACGGCAACATTACCTAATACTTCTTTTGGCAGACCTTCTTTTCAGCGCTATGATGAAAGAAGCTCAGCAGTGCCTCCTGCTCTGCGTCAGTCCCAGGTTGATAAGGTATGTTTATTTTCAGCACTTGATGTTAGAACTGTATTCTTCTAGAACCAAATGATTTTTTTTTCCCTTTCTTACCGGGCTGTTTTTTTGTTTTTCTGTTTTTAGCAACGTTTTCGCCGGGATAGAATCGGTGGTTCCCATCCTGAACGGGATCTTAGCGTAGAGCGTCCTGATACAGATGATGATAAAACCATGGTGAGATTGCATAAAGAGCCGAAGAAGCGAGTTGATAGGGACAGTAGAGATAGGAGAAACCGTGATCAAGATTATAGAGAGCCTGATAACGAAAATAATGGAGATATGAGTATGCATCGGGGTGCTGACAAAAAGAAAATCGCGCGTAAGGTTGATGATTTTGGAGGAGCTACAGGTTCAGTTTCTTATGATGATAAAGACTCCTTAAAGAGTGAGTTAATGATGGTTTCTCTTTTTGGTATAACCCAGTTAAGGGCTTTTATGTTTCAGCGGAGATGACATACTTTCTCCATTTTACTAAGTTCTTAGATCAAGTCATTAGAGTAACATGTCATTAAGGAATTGTTGAAAGGGGAAAAGCCATGATGGCTTGCTATGGCTGAAAAAAGCAATTGTTTTTACATGAGAGTTTGTTGTATAAAGTTGATTTGGATTCAATATCTATTGCTGGAGGTTGGATCAGATTTGTGAATATTTACTTGAGTTCTTTCATATATTTCCAGGCATTTATAGCCAAGAGTTCTCTTTTTGTGAAAAAGTGAAGGAGAGGTTACGGAATCAGGAGGATTACCAGGCTTTCTTGAAGTGTCTCCATATTTACAGCACAGAAATAATCACAAGGAAAGAATTGCAGAGTTTGGTATGTCTGTTAAATCTCCTCCTCCTTTTAGCTTTTGTTAGCCGCACAGGGATTTGTATGATTGTAATGTTTTCAGCAATCTTAGGTGCTTTAATTGCTTGAAGTGGGTTTGTGCTGTTATTATTTATTTTGTCATTCCTGCTCATTTGTACGGGAAAGTATAATGTGTTTCTCGGTCTATATTCCTTTTCTCTTGATACATTCTTCTGTATAGCTTTTTCTCCAAAGTCCATTTGATGGCTACGTCTTTACTTTTATGAAGTCGAAAGATTTCATTGTTCTTTCTTTTTCCCAGGTTGCTGATTTACTTGGAAAGTTTCCTGATCTTATGGACGGGTTTAATGATTTTTTAGAGCGTTGTGAAAAAATTGGTAAAGTACTGAAGTCTTTGCTTTCTTTTACTTTACATTGCTCTAGATGTGACTTCATTTCTGACAGAGGCCTTTCCTGCAGATGGATTTCTTGGGGTGATGAGCAAAAGTAAGTTTGGAGTTGTTTTGTTTCTTTGGGGCGGTTATTTTTCTGATGCCTTCTGGTTTTGTTTAATGTTTTGCTGGATATATCCTGCTGTAAGGGCTTTGTATTAGTTCTATCTGAAGTTGTACTAATAAAGTGCTATTGAATGGTTTGAACAATAGCAGAGTCTTTGTGGAATGAGGGTCACGCTTCAAAAACGTTGAAGTTGGAGGACAAAGACAGAGAACATAAGCGTGACATAGAAGCAGCGAAAGAAAAAGATCGATACAAGGAGAAGTACTGGGGAAAATCTATTCAAGAGCTAGACCTCTCAAACTGCCAGCGGTGCACTCCTAGTTACCGGCTTCTTCCCGAGGATGTATGAGTTGTTTTTTTACTTCCCAAAGTTGATCGTTCATGTAATTACCATCTGAGGTGCATGTTTTCAACATCTCTTAATTTGTCTGAATGTTGCTTCTGCAGTATCCAATCCCTTCAGCGAGTCAGAGGTCTGAGCTTGGTGTCCAAGTATTAAATGACCATTGGGTGTCTGTAACATCAGGGAGTGAGGATTACTCTTTCAAACACATGCGTAGAAACCAGTATGAAGAAAGTCTCTTTAGATGTGAAGATGATAGGTAACTCATATCCGTGTGAACGAGACGTTTATGTTTACCAATTTGTTGGTTTTGTTAGCGATGTATGCTATTGCTATCGATGATTTTCTTTGCCTAACTTTGCCAATTTGATACCAGATTTGAGCTTGATATGTTATTGGAGTCTGTCGGGTCAGCTGCAAAGCGTGCAGAAGATTTGTTGAATGGCATTAATGATAACACAATTGGTGCTGATGGTCCTATTCGCATTGATGAGCATTTCACAGGTTTGCCATTGTTGAACTCCAGATGTAAATTACTCGTAAATAACCTTGTTTGATGTTTATGTATTGGTAATTTTGTTTGTTCTTTTGTTGTTTGTAGCCCTTAATATAAGATGCATTGAACGGCTTTATGGTGACCATGGCTTGGATGTGATGGATATTTTACGTAAAAATCCATCTCTTGCCTTGCCTGTGATATTGACTCGCCTAAAGCAGAAGCAGGAGGAATGGACCAAGTGCCGCTTGGATTTTAACAAAGTTTGGGCCGAAATTTATGCAAAGAATCATTACAAGTCACTTGATCACCGTAGCTTCTACTTCAAGCAACAAGATTCCAAGAACTTGAGCACTAAATGTGAGTTGACATCTACCTTTAACTACTTGGCAGTTATGGGTTAAACTTATAGATAAGAAAAATATGTTAGTATCGTTTCTTTCGTTGTCATTTGTTTTTGGGCCTTGATAATCCTTGTTTTTTATTGCAGCCTTGGTCATGGAAATCAAAGAGATTAAGGAGAAAAAGCAGAAGGAGGATGACGTACTTCTTTCCATCTCTGCAGGAAGCAGACATCCCATAGTTCCAAATCTTGAATTTGAATTTCCTGATAATGAGATCCATGAAGATTTGTACAAACTTATAAAATATTCATGTGAAGAAGTCTGCTCTACTAAAGAGCAATTAAATAAAGTTATGAGGCTTTGGACGACCTTCCTAGAGGTGATATTAGATGTTCCGTCTCGGTCTCGTGGTGCAGAAGTTATGGAAGATGAAATAGTATCTCAGCATTGCACAATCAAAGGAACTGGGACAAGTGTAGCTGAAAGTGATGGAAGCCCAACTGTTGATGCTACTATGACTAACTCCAAGCAATCAAAACCTGTCGGTAATGGAGAAGCCGATACTTCCCCACCAGGGAACTCTGGCAGAATTGGCTTCACGAATGGTGATGCTTTATCTAAAGAAGATGGATTATCTGTGGCTTCTAATGAGCGGTTAGCTACATCCGAAGCAGCAATTGTGACAGGACCAGATGCAACACAAGGAAGAGTCAATATGGAAATGTCATCAGGTTTGTACAACTGGACCTTGCTTTTGTTGACCTTTCCTTCTGTTACAATGATTTTTCATCAGCTTTTATCACATTTTGCCAGTGTTATACATTATCACTTGTTTTACTTTTCTTCATTTTAATCATCAAATGCTTTCTTGATCTTTAAGGACGTGGCGGAACATCTTCACGCCCTGCTAATGCTGGTGGTCCTGGTGTAGTAGATGATAATCATGCTCCAAAGACAAATATGGGCGATAGTCTTTCCTCAGAGGTATGATGATTTATCTATGGTCTTTTCTAACATTTGGGTAGAGGAACTTGGAAACTCTTTGCTTTCTTTCTCTGATCTTTTCTTTGTGTAGGTGTGTGGAGTGTTGCATCATTTTGATGTATAAGCACTGACATTGTAAGAGTGTAACATCCTTTCATGTTGCAGGGAGGCGATGCTTCAAGATTGATGGCATTGGCTAATGGTGGGGTTGCTGAAGGTTCCAGATCCAGTGGATATAACAAGGAATCTGTTGATCCATCTAAAAATGAGAAAGAGGAGGGAGAATTGTCCCCGAACGGGGACTTTGAGGAGGACAATTTTGTTGCCCATCGTGAAGGTGGCTCACAAGGCATAGCTAGCACTACTCATGGTGACGAAAATATGCAATATCCTAATGGTGGAGCTGAAGAGAATGGTTGTCAGGATGGTGCAGGCGAAAATGATGCAGACGCAGATGATGAAGACAGTGAAAATGCTTCTGAAGCTGGTGAAGATGTTTCAGGCAGTGAATCTGCGGCTGATGAGTGCTCACGGGAAGAGAATGAGGAAGAGGAAGATGGAGAACATGATGATCTTGATGGCAAGGGTGAGAGTGAAGGTGAGGTTGAAGGAGGTGATGCTCATTTTGTTGGGGGAGACGCAATCCCAACATCGGAGAGGTTTCTGCTGAATTCAAAGCCTCTAACAAAGCATGTACCTTTAGTTTCGGACAATAATGAGAGGACAAGCTCGCGGATTTTTTACGGAAATGATTCTTTCTATGTGCTTTTCAGGCTTCATCAAGTAAGTTATTCCTTAATTTTGTAACTCTTGTAGTTGAGTGACTTCTATATATTTTCTCATTAGATTTTTTCAACTTATGCTCTTACCAAGGGATTGTGAGCAGTTTGGGTGCAATAGAAACTGCCTTATGTTTTGAGGAGTTGATGTGACCATAAATTGTTTCCCATTGTTTTTCTGATGTATGTTGCCTTTGGATTTTTTCCAGATGTTGTATGAAAGGTTGTTATCCGCTAAGCAGAACTCAGCATCATCTGAACTGAAATGGAGAAATGCAAAGGATTCTGATACCGATCCCTATGCCAGGTTGAACTGCATTTTAATCCCAAACAGTTATTTAGAATTCATTGTGGATAAAACAAGTGTAACTTACAGATATGTGTAATGCAGTTTCATGAGTGCATTGTATAGTTTGCTTGATGGATCTGCTGACAATGCTAAGTTTGAGGATGATTGCCGATCCATTATTGGGAATCAGTCTTATGTCCTTTTTACTTTGGACAAGTTAATATACAAGTTGGTCAAGCAGGTACCATGTGTTTATTTACGCAAGTTTTGGTGCTTCTATCATTTCTTTCTGGTGGCAAAATTCTGACTCGTTGATTTTCTTTAGCTTCAAAGCGTTTCAAGTGATGAGCTGGACAACAAGCTACTTCAGTTATATGAATATGAAAAATCACGGAAGCCTGACAAGTTTGTTGACTCTGTGTATTATGAGAATTCACATGTCCTCCTTTATGAAGAGAACATATACCGGTTTGAGTGTGTAAGTATTCATATTATCTTATGTTCACTGCTTGTCTATCTTCGATCTTCAAGCAACAGCTTGTTTTTTCATTTTATAATGTAATTAATTTCTGTGCTTTTGTAGACGTCTTCTCCCACCCGGTTGTCCATCCAACTGATGGATGATGGAAGTGAAAAGTCCGAGGTGGTTGCAGTTTCCATAGATCCAAATTTTGCAGCCTATCTGTACAATGATTACCTTTCAATCGGTCATGGTAAAAGGGAGTCATCTGCTGTTATGCTGAAAAGGTATTTGTGCTTTTTCTCCCTGTGCATCTGTGGAACTGCTTTTAGTAGTCTGGAAGACGTCGGGGAATAATGTGGGGGATGGAAACGATTTGGGGGATGTTATACATTCTTAAGACCTTTAATCTGAGTTACTGGGGAAATTTATCGAAATTTTAAAAGTGAGGGATTGCATCTCATGACATGGAAAATGTTGTGATGGACGAGATCTTTATGTTGGGCTCTTGACATATATTTTCTTTTTGGGTTTTGTGCAGAAATAAGCGTAAATACGCTGATCCTGATGAGGATTCTGCCCTTTGCACGGCCATGGAAACTGTTCGACTGTGGAATGGTTTGGAGTGTAAGATGTCTGCCACCTCATCAAAGGTATGTCTTCTTGCATCAGTGTATTTTAATGTTTCTGCAAGTGTATCTTCTATAGGGTTTGTCATTATTCCATGTCTCTTTCTTACCATGATTGTAAATTTGTAGTTATTTCACTTTCTATTTAATTTTTGTTTTGATAGACAGTTGTACTTGCCTCATATTGTGGCGAGGCTTTGCTGTATGCAAAGTAGGTAGATATATGCTTATAATCTAAGATAATGTGAAACCATTTGGTGCATGCTTTACATTGATCATGTTTTAAAAATCTGTTCAAAGCTAATCATAAAACCTTGTATCTTGTATGGTTTTGTCATTTCTGAGTCTTTTTGTGCATTCCTTACTGTTTTTTCAGTTTGTTCTGGAACTGGAATAACTGTCTTTGTGTGCTTTAGCTTCGCATATTGACCATTAACATTTCTGCCTTTCTGGCAGATTTCATATGTCCTTGATACCGAGGATTTCTTTGTCCGCGTTGGAAGGAAAAGGAAGAATGGACCAGGGAGCAGTTCTGACCATCCAAGGGTGAAAAAGTTTAACCAATATTTGGAGGCTATGAAGGAAGAACGGTCCTCTTGATACTCCAGTCTGCTGCTTTCTTGATTCTGTTTACATTCAAGGTACGGATTCCCTTTTCTCAGTGGGATAATCTTAATGTTGCAGCTTGCTGTCTTCCTTCATTGGCTTCATGGTTATTCCCCCTTCTGTGTGTTTTTCCTTATTTGAATTCACATGCAGAACTTGGCTGAGATAATTATTGTCCGGGCAAAGGCTCAACTGCAGCGTGGACTCTTGTAATTGTATCTCTCTGCCGCTGAAAGTAACCTCATAGTTGTGAAGGTTCTAGTGGGTTGTAATAGGTTGTCAGATCATAATGATGGCTTCTTTTTGAGCTATTCTCCTGTAAATATAGTCCGTTTGACCCCATGTTCTTGTTATGTAGAGCCTGTGTCTCATCTATTTTTGTATTTACTGTTTTCATTTGGTTCATAGTGAACCAGCAAGCAATACCCCTCATCAACTTAGAGAATTTTCTGGGTAGCTCCCAATTGAAACCAGTTTTTTGGATGGTACATTACCGCTTTGATGCCTTTGTAATAGATCATGATAACAGGGAAAGTATCACAGTAAAGTTGAATTTCTTTCAAATTTCTTTCCATTTTTCCCCCTATCTAGAGAAGTAACTGCTACTTCGGTTCATGCCAAGACTTGCAATCCTCAAAGTATGAGGGACAGGCGATTGTGTAATATCATTCACTTGAAGTTGAAGGTGCTGCAGAAAAAGAGATTGGAATTATTGCATGTGATTGTATTAGCATCCAATTCATCCTTAATAAAATTATTTTTACAAAATTTTGTGGTCAATATAACCTTCTTGTAGTTAATCGCAGGCGACCACAAAGATGACTAAGTTAAGTCTTTTCTTTGGTCTTATTCATATGACACAATTTAGAGCGAATGTTAAAGAATTAAACAAAAACATGATCACAGATTTGTTTAATGTTACACATTCTAGTACTTTTAAGCCCTCGGAATGACCTTAAAAACCATGGTCCTAACTTATTGTTATCCAAAGGTGAAGAGATATGGACATTAAAAATCAATCTATCACAACCTTAACAGAGTTGATTAGTGGATGCTAGATTCAGTAGCAGGAGCAGTAGCACTAGTTCTTTGGAGGTTCACTAGAGAGAAGTAAGCTCCATCAGGCCCTTTAGCCAGTAACGCCGAATGCGTTCCTTTTTCGACGACACGGCCTTTGTCCAGCACTGCGATAGTATCACAACTTTGAATCGTGCTTAATCTGTGTGCCACCACCACACTGGTTCTTCCAACCATCACTCTCTCGAGCGCGTCTTGCACGACTTTTTCCGACTGACTATCGAGTGCACTTGTCGCCTCGTCCAACAGCAGTATCGCGGGATTTTTAAGCACGGCCCTGGCGATGGCGATTCGCTGCTTTTGACCTCCGGAGAGTTGCAGACCTTTGTCCCCGCACCACGTATCAAACCCGTCTTTCAACCCGGTGATGAAGTCGTGGGCATTGGCTACCTTCGCTGCCTCGATGATCTCGGCCTCATCGATGTCTCCTGATGCACCATAGGTAATATTTTGTCGTACGGTACCCGCAAATAACGCAGGCTCTTGGCTCACTAATGCAATGTACTTTCTTAGCTCTCTCAAATGATAGGATTTTATATCCCGGCCGTCGATTTTTATCGTCCCGGCCAGCGGATCATAGAATCTCTCGATCAAGCCGATGATCGTCGATTTTCCTGAACCGCTTTGCCCCACCAATGCTGTTGATTTCCCTGCCTCAATCTTGAGTGAAAATCCTTTAAAGATCATGACATCAGGCCTGGATGGATACGCAAAATCAACGTCACGTAACTCGACGTGGCCCGTTATCCTCTCGGGCTTATGGCCTTCAGGATCTTCAGGTTCAATTGAGGAGTAACGATCTAAAACTGCGAAAACAGACCCGACAGCATCAGAGCCTTTGGCAAGATCATTTGTCATTGTTCCAGCATCCGCAATGACTCGTCCTGTGCTCACCAAGATCATGAAGGTTTGAAACAGGGCCGTTGATCCAAGCGCCCCATCCACCATAAGCTTGCCGCCGTACCAGAAATCGAAAGCCCAACTTATCGTCACCAGACCATTGGAGGTGCCCAGCCCAATTCCAGCAAACCATGATTGGCGAATATTCTCTTGCCGGGGTCCTTCTTGTGCTTTTTCCAGCATTTTCAGGATCCGAGATTGGGAGCTGAATGCGGTGACTGTCCGAAGATTGGAGACGGCTTCCGCCGCGATTTTACTGCTTTCTACCTGCGCTTTGATCCCTTTATGGGACATGGTTTTGAGAAGCACGCGCCTCCAGTAAAAGCAAATGATGATAAGTGGTTGAATGGCTATCATCACGAGTGCGAGTTTCCAGGCAATTATTAGTCCCATTGTGAATGCAATTGTCACTGCAGAAATCGTTTGGATTAAGAGCGCCATTCGATCACCCACTAATGACCTTACCTGCACCAGAAAGCAAGATCGAGTTCAGTAAAGTAGACTATTTTTCTGGGACGAAACGGAATTTATTGTTAGTGCAGTTATGCTTACCACATTGGCATCTTTTGCCAGTCTTGAACAAATGGCACCTGTACCATTTTCATCCCTGTCAAACCATCCGATTTCAAAAGTGAGGATCTTTGAAAGCATTTTTTCTCTGAGCCTTTTTGTCAAGTGTTCCCCCATGGATGCAAAGCTGTAATGCTGACATATGTTTATCAAAAACGAAAACACCGCCAACCCGGCAAAACTCAAGGCGTATATCTCTGTCTTCCTCTTGATCTCAGCATGATCTGTCAAGAAATACACCGATATAATCGATCCCATCGCGTACGCGTAAGTCGGTTGGACAGCTCCGAACAAGACAGCACTCGTGCACCCGACGAGAGCCTGCCTCCATTCGGGCGAATTCATCGCAAGAAGTCTTCGAAATGATGGAACCCGAAACACTTGATCAGTAATAGGCATTGTTGCATCCTCTGGTTTATTGCTTGGTGCAGCTGAATTCGCCGAACTAGACCGACTAAAAACCGACAGCCTACGACTACTTACACTATGCCTTCCACTAGTTAAAATGGATCCTGAACCCAATACAGCAGCATTGTTGTGATTAGTACTACTTGGTTCAGTTTGTTGCATCCGGATGAGGGATGTGTATAAACCATTTTCATCTTCAATGAGTTCATCATGTGATCCTATTTCCATGACTTGGCCATTTTGGACTACAGCAATGAGATCAGCGTTTCGGATGGTGGATAAACGGTGGGCTATTACGACGGTGGATCGCCCGACGGCCGCCTTGTCCAGCGCTTCTTGAACAACTCTTTCTGATTCTGCATCAAGTGCACTTGTGGCCTCATCCAGAAGCAGAATTTTTGGTGCTTTGATTATGGCTCTTGCTATGGCTATTCTCTGTTTTTGCCCTCCAGACATCTGAACACCCCTTTCCCCCACCTGGGATAATAAAAAAACATCATCAATTCATTGCGAGTCTTAAAAAATTTTAACTGCTTCATCTTGGGATTTTGCAAAAGCAAGCTGCTAATTAAGATTGTTTATTTTATCTTACAAGGTGCTTAAAGTAAAGCAAGGTAATTAATTACTCCATGGATAGATAACATGATCTCTAAGCAAAGAGAGATGAGAACTCAGCACAACTGATGAGCTGAATAAGTACTTTCATCAAATCGAGAAACATGATTTCTCTTTTTTGGGGACGAACAGAGTAATCATAACAACGTCGATTAAGATGCCATCAAATCGTTACAAAAGTGAAAATTTTGTTAGTAGTAATTCTAATGTATTGTAACTGCAAAATCACAATATTTTACCTGCTGGAAAAAAAAAATTGGAGTGAAATAGTGAATGAGTGATGATGAGAAACAATTTGGACAAGAAGCACATGGAAGTTCCACATCTTAGGATTTTCTAAATGGAGAAAGTCACAAAACTGGAAAGTCCAGTACTAGAACTAGAAGACAACAAAAAAATATATTTAAGAAAGAAAAAAAAATATTCTAAAAGCATCAAAAATAGAAAGGAAGAAAGGGAAAACAGGACCAGATTTAGACGGTGGCCAGTTGGGTATCAGATGCTTCTTTTTTGGTCAACTATAGCAATTAGTAGTACAGTTCCAACATTACACAAAAAAAAAAAAAATGAAATAAACAAATAATCAGTCTCGAAGAAAAAGATTGAAATAAATCCGGACCGTACTAAAAGACAAATTAAAGAAGCAAATTCACACATTACCTGGGTATCATAACCCTGAGGCAGCTGACAGATGAAGTTATGAGCATTGGAAGCTTTTGCAGCTTCAATAACCTCTTCATCAGATGCATCCTCTTTACCAAAAAGTATGTTTTCTTTAATTGTGGTTGCAAAAAGTGCAGGCTCTTGACTGACTAGCCCCATTTGCGACCTTAACCACTTGAGCTGCAGCTTATTAATGGCCACCCCATCCAGCAAGATTTCACCTCCAAGTGGGTCATAAAACCTCTGCAACAGTGCAATCACTGTTGATTTCCCTGACCCACTTCCCCCTACTAATGCAACTGTTTTCCCTGCTGGGATTTTGAGGCTAAAATCCTTGAATATTACGCTTTCGGGTCGTGATGGGTACGCGAATTCGACGTGCTTGAATTCCACCTCACCCGAAACGTTTGTCAAAATCTCGCCTTCCATGTTGTCTGAATCAATCTTTGGTACTCTTGCTATGATTTCCATTATTCGATCCGCGGCCGCACTTGCCTCAGAAAAATATTTCACGTTGGATAAACCCGAACCCAGTGACCTAATACATATTGAAAAAAAAAAAAAACAATTAGCAATGAGTAGAGAGGTAACAGAACAGAACATGTCAGAGAGAAACGTGCTGAGCAAAAATGATTACTCACAATCCACCAATGGCAATGGCAGCACCAACAGCAAAAACTGTCCCTCCTTTAGCACCATGGTACATGACTAATCTACTACCATAATATGACATGAAAGCCCAAATTGCAAATGTTATGCCATTACTCCCAATGGCCAAACCTTTTGCCAAACCTTGTCTTAATCCTAATTTGAAACTTCCTTCAAGAGCAGCAGAGTACTCTGCCGTCGTTTTCGCCTCCCCGACGAAAGAATAAACTGTTCGGACCGAAGAAATGGCTTGCTCCACAATCGTACCAGCTTTGTTATATTCTTCCCTGATTTTTCTAGCAATAACCATGAGAGCTCTGCCATACATCATTCCGGGGATTACCAGAAATACCACAAACGGGAATCCCACAATTGCTAGCCTCCATTCCATTAAGAATGCTGCCATGTAGGATCCCACAAAAGTCGCTAGATTCATCAAGAAAACTGGTACCTGTTTCAATTTTGAGCTCAACACATTTAATATCGTCGCCTTTTTTCGCATTTTGAATGTCTAACAGCAGAAGTAAAAAAAAAAAAAAGAAAAGAAACAGGAATTAACCTTCTCACTGATAACATCTTGAATTACAAGACTATCACTGGAAACGCTTTCAATGACATCTGCAGTGCTTGTGACGTTTACGTCGAAATAGCCTACTTCTTGCCTTAGCACCGCCTTCAAATATCTTGCTCTTAATCTCGACGCTTGCCTCTCTGCTGTTCTTGTCCAACAATAACCCTCTGCAAAAAAACAAATAAATAAAGACAGTCAAGAAATGGAAAAAATAATCCGTCCTTTTTTTTTTGAACTAAAACAGTATAACAAATTTTTTTTTGAACTAAAACAGTATAACAAAGTATACCGGGACGACATACCTAAAAAGCAAGCAATCCATTGTGCACATGCCATGTAGCAGAGTAGCAACACATTCTGGCAAATCCCAAAAGAAAAAAAAAAAATTTGTTTTGTCAAAAGATATGGAAAAGGGATTGTGATTGAATAAAAAAAAAAAAATCAAAGAGGGAAAAGAGAAAAACAGACCTTATTAAGATTAGGACTGAAATGAGCACTCTGAGGAGATTCATTACCGACATTGTTCAAGAGTTTAGCAGTCAAAAGCAACATGGTAGGCATCGAGATTCCGTCGCCAACAGCTCCGACGAAGCCGATGATCATCAACAACTTGTCAACTCCATCAGCGTGCATGAAAATCGATAACACCGAACCCTTTTTCTTCTTTCTCATCATTTCATCTTTCTTTGCTTTTCCCATATCTTCCTTGGAAAAAAAATATTTCGTTCTCTCTCTTTCTTCTTCAACTTTTTTTCAATATTATGAGGTTTGATTGCTTGCACTACTGTTCTTGAAAGTCTATGGAAATGTGTTTGTTTAAGGCTTCAAGGGTGGTTGGAGAGAAGAGGTGATGGGGAAGTGAGTAGGAGGCATGTGATTTATATATATATAGACTAAGTCACAAAATAATGTAACATATTCATACTCGTAAAATAGGACTTTTTATTTTTTGCGGAATTATGAAATTATAATAATTTTTGTGAAAGTCAATTATATACGACAAGTTGTATCAATTAGGATAAAGGGGAAACGGCTTAGGTTTGTAATGGGAAGAGATTCTAACAGTGACATCTCAAATTTATTAGACTTTTTTTGTAACATTGCATTCGTTTCACTAAAACTGTCACGTCTAGAGTGGATGCTTCATTTTTATCTTCTTCTTTTCTTTTTTTTTTTGGGCTTGGTACAACGAATTAATTAAAAAACGGATTACAGTAAAAAGGTAAAACATCATCTTTTTGTGACGAAAGAATTTGAACACTGGGGAATATGGGAAGTAGATAGTTCGATTGACATTATGTAATAATTAATTATGTGGACCTGAATTTAAGTAGGGACTATGGTTTTAGTTCTGAATGAAAAAAAAAAAAAAAAAGTGATTGTCTTAACGAAATGTAACTAATCAATAGTGGATTAACAAGTTCACAAACTGCAATTAATGTTCGGAGGGCCTAATGCAAAAACTCTACCAATTTAAGTCGTGAAAGACAGAACTATGGTTTATGTACCAAACAAATAATGAGAGAAGGAGACTCCGTTTGTTAATTACGCCCCGTTGGTCATGAGTTCATGAAATTTAGGTTTATGTTTGTTTCGTTTTTTAGTGTGTGTTTTTAGGTGTTTTTTATATTAAAAATGTAAAAAAGTATTTTGAGATGAAAAAGTTACTATTAAAATAATATAAAAAAACCATCCAAAAATCCAAACAAACAGAGCCTTATGTTGTTGTCTTATGTGCACCGCAACTATATGTCATACATGTTGTACATTTGAATATTCCCTTAAAAAAAGTTTAGGTTCAAAGTTATAACTGGCTTATTTGTAATTCTGCATGTACAGCTAGCATTTGGTGCATTAATCAAGAAATAAAAAATTGATGATAGAGACAATGTATTATCGAGCAAATGGTTTCGGGTAATAAGTGAAAATTCAAGATAATTAGCTCTTTATAGTAGTAAACTATTTACCAATAAGCAATTGGTCTAAGTGGTAAAAGTATTGGGTCAGTTTAAATTTTCAATCAGAATAAATTCCGACATGAGCATGCAATTAAAATACATGTTGAGAAAGTTTTGTCTCCTAAAAAAATTTATCCAGTTCGAATTTGGATTAGTCAGAAATCAGAATGAGTAATATATCAAAAAATTATCATTAAATTATTTCACTGTCTCTCAAAAAATTATCATTGTAAATTTCATATTATGAGGCCGGATCACGGGACAAGACTTAAAAAGAATTTCTGAAATTAACTTTCGTCATGCATGATATAACACATGAAGAAGTTCGCCAAAGCCCAAATTCTGTCTCTTCATCCTACTCAAAGCATAAAAATTTCAAAGCTTTTTTTTTTTTTTTGGAAAAGGAATTTTAAAGCTTTGTTTGTGGTGAATCATATTCTTCTGGGGAAATCGTGGTTGACTTTTTCAGTTAGTCGTCTGTATTATTTTTATGAGCTTATCGTCACTAGTGACGACCATAGCTAGTGATTGTGTCTAGTTTCGGGACAACACCAAAAGGCCAAAATAAAAAAAATTAAAAAAAAATTGCATAAATTTTGTGCTTACATTAAGTTATATTAATCTGTTGAATTTAAGCCCAAACCCCCAAATATGATTCGATTGAATTATACTAAGAAGATTAATTAGATTAATTTGCACCTAAATTTTTGCAATAGTATGAATGTGACATGTGACAAATGTATGGTCGTAAACATTGTGGGATTATTCTGGCTCCCTTGTTAACTTATCCAGCTCCTGAAACTAACGCGGGAATTTTATAATCCAGTATTTAAACTAATCGGACGACTTTTTTATAGGTTCGCAGTACAATTATTTGAAAGATTCATGGGACGCAAAATGCATGTATCTACATCATTCAACTCAATAACATTGTTGATGTTACCATAAAATTAATGATGCATTGAAGATAAATTTTTTTTACTGGATTCTTTATCGTTTGCGCATAAAAGTTATAGTAGGGTTCATATCACAAAGTTTATCCGAATTTTCACATTAAGCCCCGTTTGATAAAATTTAATTTGGATCTGAAGTCTGAAATCTAAAGACTGAATCATAAGTACTCAACTGATTAAGTTTGTCTTGTTTGTTAAAAATCAAAATCTAAAAACTGAAAAAAAATGTCTGAAGTCTGAAGTCTGAACACTGAAATTTATTAAAGTATCTCGACATATAATTTTATCTAAAAAATAATTCATTTATATGAAACTATAATAAAAATAATAGTATTATTATAAAATTATGTAATAAAAATATTTAAATTTTTATTATGTAATTATTTTACCAGTTAATAATAATGCTATATCTTTATCATTATCAAAAATATCATATTTTATATATAAAAAAAAGTATTGATCACGGAATTTATTTTGATTTTAATTTTTATATTAAAATAAATATTTATTAAATAAAAGTAATTTATATAAATTTTAATTTATAACCAAAAATCAAGATTGATAAAATGTTTCAAGATAAAAATATCAAAAGTATAAACATAAAAGTAAATAAATAGGAGAAAAATCGTCTCAAGAATTCAGTTCAGATATAAGTAATAGGCCTATCACATATTTTTAGAATCACATGTGTACTAGCATTTCAGACGCACTTAATTTATTAAGACATCCTACTTTGAGTTATCAAACGCACTTAAAATTTAAGTCCTTAATTAGTTAAGTTCTTAATCAATTAAGGAAGTGCTTGTTTTGAAAGTTTTATATCCTGGGTTTGGGTTTCACAGGAGTTTTGGTTGCTTGTTTCACCCATTTGGAATGATGATGGCCCATTAAATTAGAATTCATTCTAATTTATAGTGACTTTTTCCATACCCAACTAGTTGGGAGGGTTTAAATCCCAAGAATCATAGAAACTAAAAAGTTAGCAAACCATACATCTATTATATCTAAGCCATTGAACTAAGCACTTCCTAAGTGATTATGATATTGTGTTATCAAACAATTCTGATTAATTAATTACTTAATTAATAAGTTTAAATGTTGAATTAGTTTATCAAACAGGGCTTAAATTATAACCAACTTGATAAGTTGACAGAACGACTGCCGATGTGCTAGCAAAAGCGCGTCAAAACGGCTTGCAGTGAGTTTCTCTCGTTAGATGAATTACAAAGAAATCTCTGAAATTTGATTCTAAAACAAGAGAATAGCTAATACTCCCTCTGTCCCAAAATTATTGTCCAGTTTGAGATTTCCCTTTTAGTACAATTTGAACTAGAAATGAAAACTTAAATTGGACAATAATTATGGGACGGAGGGAGTACTATTTGTATGAGACGTTAGACGTATTTCACATTTGCATAACTAAGAAGAAGGGTTTATTTTATTTTTATTTCTTTTTGAGAAATTTCTTTTAGGATTTTTTTCACATGCTTATTGATATTAGTAAATTCATACTACCTCTATTCTTAAATTACCGTCTAATTTATTGGACTATTATTTTAACTCATAAATGTGATACTCTATCTATTAAAAAAAAAAAATTAGTACACATTAAGTTATGAGATTTATTTTATTTTTAAAAAAATCTTAAAATTGAATGTGAATATTTTTTTTAAGACAAAGAGAGTAAGAATTTTGAGACAATAATTTATTTTTTATGTCGTTTTACAAGTTATTGCCCTTGAATTAATGTAAAGCTGTACTGCGAGAGCGGACCACAAGCTTTCTGCATTTGATATAACTGAATTCTCGATCGACCAGCACAAAGTAAAATTTCTTTATTTAATTAAGATACACACAGATGTATACTACAATCTACACCCCAAATTCCCAGCAGGAAAATTGAATTCAGCTCTTACAAAAGTACTGCTGCGGTTTTGTGTTAACTTATTACAAAAGCCAATGTGCTCGGAAACGATGATATATATATATATAGTATGACATACGTGGACCGTGGCAGAGCCAACTTCGAAACTACAAAAGACCCCTAAAGCTCTCCCTTTCATTTATGAGTAAACATACAATTTGCCTTTTGCATGTTCACCTTTAATTAAATTATCTAACTTTCTTCGAGGTTAAAAAAAAAACAAATAGGTAAAGAAGAAAAGGGTATACTACAATATACTCCTCTATGTAGTTCCTCATCAGAATTAGTGCAGTCTTGCCTGCAAATTCAAGCTACCTTAATCATCGAATGAAGAGATAAGCATCCACATCAATAAATATATCAAGTGAAAGGCTGAAGGACAGGGTAATTCTGTGGCTACGGTTTTTTTTTTTTTGTTTTTTCCCACCTTGCTGCGAACGGGTTCTATTAGTTGTTTGATTGATACTATGATTTAACTCTCTCAGACTAGAAAATTTTTGAGTTTTGAAAGTTGTAAAACTAATCTATATAAGTTTTGGGACAGAAAAAGTATACCACAAGTAACATTAATAAAATGTGAATAACTTAACATTTGTATATAATAATCTCAACCTTGCTATAACTTTATAAATTTCAGAGGAGTTAGTCACCAGCAAATTTGCTCCGCCAAGAGAAAACACTCTGGATTTAGTTTATGGTGTGCTATATATTGATCAGTCGGTATCATGGGCTAAAGAAATGCACAATTAATTTTGGGGAAAGACCACTTTGTTTAATTTATTTCTGTCATTTATTGTGTCATTTCACTTGATAATATCGTAGTATTTTGATACTATTACTAATTCCACCCAACAGCATTTGTCACGTTTTAGTTCTGGGCAACCTTAACTTTCAAAATTCCAAGGATCTTTTTTATATGTCAGTTCATCAAATTCTTTTGTGCTCTTCACTGAATTTGAAAAATTTTAATTAACAGGTGGTATTTTCTCAGAAAAAGAAGAAAGATTCTAGTCTTAGGCTTTTGCCTCTTTCATTGCACCGGAAAAAAAAAAAGAAAGATTCTGTAGTACTACAAGCAAATGCCTTATTTCAAAAAAAAAAGAAAGGGAATGTGAGAAACAACCATTATTTAATATAATATTTTAAATACTTATTCTTCCTTTATCCAAAAAATAATAGTTGTAATAATAAAGAATTCTTCCGATCGAATGCACCCAACATTTCCTCATTCCTAACCTGTGAAAGATAAAATTGTCAATAATTGTTTAGTGGAGCCAACTATTCATATATCCAGCAAAAAGAAAGGCCAAAACAATTTAGGGAAAAAAAACGTTTCGTTTCTGATTCTCCCTTTTTGACATAATGTTAACAGCAATGATGAATAATGGACGATCAAAACCACAGCTAGGCATGAATCTACCAGGGTTTCATGGCTCTGGGTTGTGTTTTCACAGTGACTATACTTGCTTTTCGTCAACAGATAATATTGGGAAACCAATTGATCTTATCTAGTTAGTCACAGGAAATGGTTTTAAAGTATAATTTGACCAAAGATCTTAGGTTCGAATCCCTCCAAAACTTAGGTTTATGTTCCTTTTCCCAATACTTGTTCCCTGTTCTTTGGTTATAGATTAGATATATAATTGCACCATTGTGAGCCCCATTCCATTTGTGTGCGGAAAATGAATAATATATTCCAAAAAAAAAAGAAGAAAAAGAGATAGTATTAAAAATTTATTTGAAGGATTATGATTTACTGTCAGAAAAGGACTCAACAATGACTAAATTGCGTATAATGACTCGATTACATATAGTGACTTGACAGCATTTGACAGCACGACTTAGGTCACCACTCACTAATACTCATTTTTCTTGTAATAAACGTTTGATAAAATTACAGTAGTGGCAAATGTGCTAAACTTGAAAGGGATTAAAAGAACATATTGGCCTTCACCGGGGAGAAGTTGAAAACTTGATCCATATTATGATGATGATCTCTCGAACATCACCATGGAAGGGATGTTAGTGTATTGTAAATATATATTTTAACTTTAATGTAGTATATTTACTTAGTTACCATTGTAACAAACCCTAACCTTAATACATATTTATAAAAAGGTTTGCGTTGCCATGTTCAGGGCAAATTCGGCCGTCCAAACTTGTATCGTTGTCTTATATTTTCTCATGGTATCGCGAGCAAGGTTGATCTTGTTCTAAAAATTCATATTTTTTTTCCTTCATCAT